AATTTGAACTTTGGTCACATGGTAAGGATACTTTAAATAATTTCCTCAATTTCATTAATCAACTTGATAAAAGAATTAAATTCACAATAAAAGTGGAGGAGGATGAACGACTACCCTTTCTGGATATTGAAGTCATGCGCTCCAAAGGGACACTCATGAGAAGACTAAACAGAATGAATTCCTATGCACGAATGATACTTAATTTCCAGTCTCACCATAACTACAGACTGAAGATGGGAATACTGAGGAGTTTGATCATCAGAAGCTTACGACTAACGGTCAATGAGTTATGGGACGAGAAGTTGGAGAAACTCACACGATTTGCCTTAATAACGGATACCCCAGAGAATTTATATTAAAAAAATGTAGAGGATATAAAGAGCAGATTTCAACTCAGATTCTATGAAAATGAGACCAGGAATCAGGAGGACGACCAGAAGTGGATTTGCCTGCCCTCATCAGAATTGAGAAATCAATTGCGACCGTTACTAAGGAAATGTAATATAAAGGTGATAACAAAGGAAAAGAAAACACCAGCCTCCCGACGCAACACGAGACGACAGACAAACTTGATTGCTCGGGAGTTTATCGGATCAAATGCGGCAACAGTGAGCAGAAGTATATCGGTTAATCAGGAATAAAAATCGGCCTACGAATCAAGGAACATCAAAGACTCTGTAGGAACATAGATACGAATAGATTCGAAATAGCGGAACATATTGCACGAACGGGGCACAAAATCGACCGAAAGGTTGGCTGCATGTGGTGAAGATACAAGAAAACGCAAGATCCGAGAGGCCATCGAAATACTAACCGAGAGAGATATAATAAACAGGAGACTTGAAGAAGTCATCATTAGCGAAAACTTTGCATATTGACTAAACAAACTCAGAGAAAACCAGGCAACAGTAAGATCAGCAAAAATAAGACTACTTGATCAAAGTAATATCCTTAATTTTATGAAAAAAGATCGCAGGGGGATGAGAAAGGAACAATTAGGAGCAAAGAGGAGACGTCTTCAGTAAGCCTAATCAAAGCAAGTGAACCACAACATTTGTGGGTTGGCATACAAGAGACTAGGACGTAGGAAGTGATTGACATGGTATTACAGATAGAAATAGGAAGGACGCTAGGGAGACTAAAGCTATTTGGCTAACAATATACGTGATCTTTGAATCACGACTATTGTTAGCCAACTAGCTCTTGCTTCCACTGTTTCTATCATCTTTCTAACTATAGTATCAAGTCTATGATATCCTATGCTCTAGTCTCTTGTGTGCCAAATCCACAAACGTTGAATTTAATCAAAGTAAGCAGTACCACAACGTTTGTGGGTTGGCACACAAGAGACTAGGGTATGGCAAGTCATAGACTTGATATTAGGGATAGAGACAGGATAGACGAGGCGGCGATTCGAGCTAGTTGTCTGACAGTAGGTTTTACAAGAGACGTGGTCCATATAGTAAACGCATGACCTTAATACTTACTCAGAGGCGAAAAACGCCTAGAGTAGCACAGATGGGGAGACAGCGGTCGAGTGAAATACGTGTACCAGGGAGATAGCAGACGGATTCTACAGGGTAAGAAAGAGACTGTCGTAAGAACTAGGCAAGGAGGATTACGTAACAATATTACAGACCTCGGTCGACATTCCCAGCACAAGGGTGAAGGGGGTGAGAACGACAGCATAGAGTGTGAAGGGTTTTCATGAAGCCGCTCGAATGAGCACACCACACTATATTAAAAATCAGAACGGTAAAAATTGTGATAGGGAAGGCTTGATACGAGGATATAGGAAATGTGAATATCCCGGGGCAGAAGGGGAGATACCACAACTGTTTAGCACACTTGTCTCTTTGATGAGTTGTTGTGTGTTGCTAAGACTTGCGAGACTCACTGACGATGCCGGTGAAACGTCTGGGAAAGTACCACTTCCACAGTCCAACTTTGGAAATAATCATGCATACAATGGACTCCGGACTAGGTAAGTTCCTCTAAGTCTTCCTACAAATGCGAACAAGTTGCGAAAACAAGGTCAAACAACTTTTTTAAAAAAGTATAGTTACTCTGTTGAATGGCTGTCTTCGCAGTTGCGAGGAAAAACGAATTCATAACCATGAATTTCCGAAGCAAGTTTGCCCACCCGAAGTAGATTAAATTCTATTGTTAGTCTTAGATTCGTCAAGGTCATATCGTCCCTGAAATTTTTTATAATTTGCAGCTGTTTTCGAACGCTATTATGGGAACTGGGTACAAGTTTTTACACAAACCCACTTTATAAACTTGGTCGAAGCGACAGGGGGACTCTGAGCATATCTTGTTCTGCATCCTCTGTGAGAGTATTTATGCAGAAATTTTTAGAAATTTCGACGGTTTTATATTCGGTATTATAAGTGAGAATGGAACGTATCACATATTAATGGCTATTATGACAGAAGATGAAGTACTCAGTACATTCCAAAATGTTAATCCAGTTGCTTCGACAAAATTGCGAAAACGAGATCAGGCCAACACATCACAGCTAAAGGAGACTGTGAACAAATATAAGGTCACATCATCTTGGTCTTCATAGATATGAAGAATATACAATTCAATGATGCCACTGTTAGAAACTTTCGTCGCAAAAGTTAATGAGGACTTGACCATTTTTTACTTCAGGCAGTTATCAATCTGTCTTCCCAGGATGAAGTATCACATACCTCTTCTCAACTGCGTATTTCGAAAAAGACGAGATTCTGACTTGTGTGACGCGCAGGTATTTCCTCCACTCCTTTCAAGCAGACCAACAGACAATTTCGAAAAATGCCGATCCGGAAATGGTGCGATTCTACTCTCGAGATCATTGTACGGCTGTGGTGTAAATATTCCTGTCCTATTATATGATTGTCCGTTCACATACTTTCGCTTTACAATGCAGTCCGAAAGCAGCAACAATAACCAAGTCCTACTACAAGTCTTTAGATATGAGATGCTGCGATTATGAAAGGCGCCGTTTTTGGGGTACGATCGACATGTTTCTTTCCCTTTTAATGCAATTCCATGATATTTCATTTTCATGTAAGCCATTATTTTAATATTTTACTTTTCAAAACCCATCATCAGGAGACTCTTTATCCTATCCTTTATTGAGCCCATATCAGATGTCCCTCTTATTAATGACTATCCAAACACTGCATACAGTCTTAACTAGTTTAATCGACAGCCCCACTTTACGTGTGAATCGGAGAGTTATAGCTTTATACGAGAGTTGCATTTGCTCTTTGACCCACTGGCACTAGTTGCTATGTAGCTGAGTAGTAATATGTCGCCACGATAGTGCAATTCACTTTGAAAAAGAAAATATTTTGCGGCAAGGGTAAGTAAAATTCATTGGCATCGTTATGGCTACTCAAATCGTTGAAAGAAACCTCCACTATCATTCCATAATCCACTTCAAGTGGCCTAGTGTAACAGGTGGGTGTGACCTGTTAGCCAACTGAATCCCTGCGACTCGTTAAAGAACGGTGTGGATATCTCTCTGGCCCAGAGCTTCGAAAATTGGGACCCCAAAGTATGTCAAGATCTTATTAAAAGTCCTATTTTGCCCACAAGAGGGACAATTTGAATATAAATCGCTGGTGTTTGGCGGTTATTATGACTAAAGGGCGGTGGGCACATCGACCTCAGCTCAGTTATTTGTAATTATGCACTGGTCCGCTCTATCAAAGGATTGCTTGATCCTAGTAAAACTTATTCTCGTGCTTCAACTGCCGCTAAATGATCTTTTGGCTACCAGGACATGAAAGAAAGGTAGAATAATATGCCGAGTATTCTGCCCTTGATTCTAAGTTCCAGAGTAGGATGAATCATAGTACGAGATTTGGACTACTGCCTTAGGGCTACCGTCTGCTGAAGGTTAATTCAAATGTAGAAGTGGATGCGCAAGTTGCTCCATTCACACTTAACTGTTTTTTTTCACGTCTCTCTCTCTCTATCTCTGTATCTACCACGTGGTCTCTGTTGTCCTACTAATTCCTTCCTAGGCTAGTTCCCGAATTGCACTGTCAATTCTCAAAGAAAATGTGATGTCTTTTGTCCGACGCTTCCAAACCACACAAAAACGGACACGTCCTTACACACAAAATTCTCTCTTGTGCCAACTTGCCCGTTCGTAAGAGAGACCTTGTCTTGACCCCTCGCCTCCAGCCGCCTCATCTGGCCAGATGACACTTCCAAGGTGGGCTAATCGAGCAGATGTCCGAGTTTCTCTTTTCAAGAGGGCCCTGTCTGAGTGTCTTAGCACATCGAGGGGGCTTCGAGAAAGTAGAGCAGACCGGAGCCAGACCCGAGGGGGATCGGGAACAAGAAAGAACCTGATAACCCGTGAGATGGGAATTCAGAGATGGACAATATAAGGACGCCTTTTAAGTGCCTTCGATGTGTTGTATCCTCGTGAAGACCAGACGGTGGATTAAAGCTTGGCACACTTGTTCTCTAGCCTGCAGAGAGCGTCCCCACTCACTTTCAGTCATTAAACTGAATACACATTCCCACTTACATGAAGATGCATATAATCACCTATATGCATGTTCACACATGCCATTTCTGTGTGAATAGGAATAAATAAACAAACGTAAACATGCATAAATAGTAATTGACTGTGGCAGAGACACATTATAAAATATTACAAGAAGTGGTTGTCTGTTGCTAGTTGGCGCTTCTACATCCATAAATTTGGAAGCAGGGAGAATGGTTAGGTGAGAGATTTAGGAGATGTGAATGTTAACGTTGGACTTGTCCCTCATGAGTGTTATTTTAGTGTGCGCGAAATAGGGAAGCGAAACAGGGGGCGGAGATTCAGGGGTCCCGCTTGGGGCCGGGCTAAGAGGCTGGCCTGGTCAAAGGCTGCAGGTGTGAAATTTTATTGGGAGCCTTGGGACTGGGACACGAAGAGGGAAAAGTAAACCTTTACAGATGGGTCACGAGGGCTTGTCTATATAAGTTGACTGGCAAAAGCTGGGCTCTGTTGATTGCATCAGCTGCCAATGAAAATGCAGGAAGGCGAATTAATGTCGTTGAGCGAAGTGTTGTGCGTGGGGATATTGACTTCAAAAGGACAACCACTTGATGTGGAGGCGAAATTGGACGAGTCGGACCACCACGACTGAAGTATAGAGTTTAAGGGATAATCTGTAGTATACTTTTGCTGGACTAGCTTCAGACAGTAACCTGTTTGTTTGATCTTGGGGAGAGGCATTGCAGCTATAGGGCAGAGGAATCACCACTCGTTAACGGATATTGTGGGCTGTACTCAAAGGCAAACAAGCGGGGACATGGCCAAACAATATGAACCTTTCATAATTTCACCTTGATCAGGTGGTAGAAAAAAATAGTCAAGTTTCAAGACCTACGAGACCAAACAATTTTTGTTTTAACTTTCATTTAATTCGTAAATATAAGTGAAAGAAATTATTTAGTTGGGTTCAACACAAATCAAGCTTATCTTAGAGGTATGACTAAATTAACCCTAAATAGTCTTTTAGTACAACATTCTTCGACGACAATGG